AGATAACAACAGATAACAACAGATAACAACAAGATAACAACAGATAACAACAGATAATAACAAGATAACAACAGATAACAACAGATAACAACAGATAACAACAGATAACAACAAGATAACAACAGATAACAACAGATAATAACAAGATAACAACAGATAACAACAGATAACAACAGATAACAACAGATAACAACAAGATAACAACAGATAATAACAGATAACAACAGATAACAACAGATAACAACAGATAACAACAAAATACAACTGATAACAACAAATAACAACTGACAACCTTAAAAAACCAGTAAAAGTAACAACAGTAGGACGACTGTGTTGATAGTTGTCGTTATTTTATCGTTATCAGTTATTATCAGTTGTTATTTGTTGTTATCTCGACAAAGAAAAACACCGAAATCGAAAGTAACAATTTATCGAAAAAAAACAAAATTAGAAAGTTTGTGTTGATATTTGTTGTTATTTTGTTGTTTGTCTTTTGTTATTTGCTGTTATCAGTTGTCATTTGTTGTTATCAGTTGTTATCTGTTGTTATCTGTTGTTATCTGTTGTTATCAGTTGTTATCTCGAAAAAGATAAATACCCCCCTCTCCCATCTCCCCTTCAACACGCAATCTTCTCGAACGATCCATCTCTTTTCCCTCACATACATTTACTCAATCAGGAAACGACAAGTGCAGTTTTTGGGACACCTGAACCGACATAAAGATCTTGAACATCTAGCTCTCACTGGCAAAATTGAAGGTAAACGAGGCAGGGGTAGGCCCAGAACAACCTACTTAGGGAACCAAAATAAATGGGCAACAGGGGAAGATAAGGGAAACATAGCTTTTTTTAAGAGCATCCGAGCAAAGGAATGAATGGAGAACCACGATTGCCGATGTCTGTCGCAGATCTGGCACTGGATGATGATGACCCAACCCCCACCCCCTTTCACACACATACACATACGCATACTCTTCCCACATAATATATCTCTTCCTCTTCTAAGTATGTTCTTCACAAATCCTCCTCCTCTCCTTCCCTTATACTCACGTCGTCTCTGTTCTGTAAGTCTGCCACCCCCCACCCCCCAAAAAAAAATTAATTAAAAAACCCCTCTTTTTCTCCACATGCTGTTGTCAGGCTACCCTCCCCACCTCTTCTCTCACTCACATTATTCTCGAAAACGAATAATCTTCCTGTCCTTTCTGCACACTCATTCATATTTCGTCCCCATTTCCCCCCTCCCCAATTTCTTCTCACACAAATCCTCTTCTTTTCCCTTCATCCCATACACTCACTCACTCATCTTTTAACCCCCCCCTCTC